CAGGTTTTTACTGTAGCATTTTTACAGTCTTTTACTGTTAAAATCACAATCCTTTTTTACAGTGTGGATGTTAAGCATTACATTTTTAGTAAGTAACTAGTCATCTCTCTCACGTGATTGACCTACACGTGGCTTGATCTCATTGATCTTGGTCTTGTGCCGGGTGTTTTCCATCTTCAAACTACTTAAAAAGCCCCTTATAATGTATTAATGCGAACCAAACTGGCACTGGCGATCAATGAAAGCACACATGCTGCCAGATGCATCACAGATCAATGCTGGCTGGATAATGTGGAGAAAAGACCCGTCCTTGTTTACCAACCATCCAGACTTTTCAAATGACGTGATTTGAGGATCCTGACCGGAGTCGACTGATATTCCCATTCAATCTCTCATCCCTGCAGTGATTACTGACAGATTCCTGCCCTGCCCTGAGAAAACCAGACCTAAATAATAGCAGAAGGTTCAGCTCAGTTCAGCTCTTGATCTCAGCATGAAGGTATTTCAATAGTTCTCTCGCTTACATCAAAGCTGTTGTTCTTTTTCCAGCATCAGAGATTTGTTAAGAGTTTGCACCCATACGTTTTGTGCTCCAAAATATATTAAAACAAGTATGTGGACTGAAATCTTCACTGACTTCATCATTTTTGCTCAAAGTCTTTTAGTCAACTAGTATTTTGGTGATTTCTACACTGTAAAAAATGACCGTGAATTTAACAGTAAAAGACTGTAAAAATGCTACACTAAAAACCTGTTAAATGGTTAACGGTAAATTCCCCTACTATATACGGTGAAGAACTGTATTGGACATTAATGAAATTACGGTATTTAACTGTAAATTTAAGTTAAAACCGTAAAACCTAAAACGTTGCTACCGTATTTTTTACTGTAAAATTCCAGCAACCACAGCTGCCGGTTTTTTACCGTATTTTTTTTTTTACAGTGTGTGAAGTTCACACATTATCATCACATTATGCAGGCATGTTCACTAGTGTTGGACAACCTATTGCTTATCAATTCCAACATAACATACTGTTTTTGCATTTAATTCAATGACATTTGGTCCAAATACATTTTGGGATATATTTGTGAATTGCATGCATATTTTCCAACATAACATACTGTTCTGTGAAAAGTTTTAATTGGAAGTCTGCGTGTGCTATCTTCTTTTCAAATAAATTTGTAATTTAATATTTAATGCATTTAATTCAATGACATTGCATATTTTTAATAAATTGCATATTTTTACAGCATGCATTTGTATACTGTATTGTTAATTAAATCAATGTTCAGCATCAAGGTGCCATGCATTTATAAAAAAAAAAATCTGGAGTTCAAACATTATGCACGTGTTTGTCAACCAAGGAATATCTACTGTTTTTCATATCCAACATAATTTACAGTTTTTTTTTCCTATGAAGAAACTTGACAAGTAGTCTTAGGTATATTGCATTAAAATAAATTTTGATTTGATATTTCAATGACAACTGGTCCAAAATACGTTTTGGGATCTATTTATGAAATGTACATTTTTCAGCATGAATTTGCATATTGCATTGCTAATTAAATCAATGTTCAGCATTAAGGTGCCATGCATTTATAAAATGTTCAGAATCTGGAGTGCAAACGTAATGCACACGTTTGACAATCAATGCATTTCAATAGTTTTATCGTTTCCAAAATAACACTGCAGTTCACCTGAAAAGTCCACTCATGCAATCTTCCTTTAAAATACATTTTGATTGGATATTTTTTTGCATTTAATTCAATGACTTTCGGTTCAAATAAAGTTTGGGAAATATTTGCAAATTGCATATTTTTAGTTAAACCAATGTTCAGCATTAAGGGCCATGCATTTACAAAACGTGCAGAATCTTCAGTTCAAACATTATGCATGTGTTTGACTACTGCGTTTTATTTTGTGCATTTAAAAAAAAAAAAATTTTTTAAACTGGACGTTTAGAACATTCAGAAAAAAACGCTTTCATAAAAACATATTTTTAATAGCCTAAATGACATTTGGTCCAGATTAATACTGTATTTGCTAAATGCATTTGTGTATTGTACTGTGAATTAAATCAATGTGAAATGCATTTATAAATCGTGCAGAATCTGGAGTTCAAACACAACGCACATATGCAAATGTCTGAGACTCTTAACAGTGACATCTATTGGTAGTTATTAAAAATAGGCCCGCAAGTTTTCTTTCCACCCTCTGCCAACAATCATGGAAGTAAAGAGACTGACTAACTTATTCCTTTCACAGATGTCAGAAACTGCTGAATCTGCAACAGAGAAGCTCCTCAGAGCTGTACTCCAAAAGCACCTGAAGGAATGCAGGATGGTTCTTCTTACCTGCATCATGATGGAAGCCTCGCTGTCGGATAAGAGTGAGTTAACAGATGCAGACGGGCTGAAGGAGCGCAGCATGAGCCCAGTTTCAGACTGACAGATAAGCTCTGCGCTTCTCTTTCCATCTCTTTCAGCCTGTGAGATACCAGCCAATCAGAGAGCGGGGGCGGGGCGTGTACAGTGTGGGCGGGGCCGAGTTAAGCTTCTTCAAAGTAATTCACCAGAAACAATGTTTCTTTTCATGTGGAACTCTAAAGGAGAACCTTCACAAACTGTTTTCAACTGGACACTGTGAACTGCTGTTAAAGGGAAAGTACAGTGGAAAGATTGGTAATAATTTACAATAAGGTCCCACAGCTATACATTTTTTAAAGTATTTATTAATCTTTGTTAACGTTAGTTAAGGCATCTCAATAGGAACCCGCGCGACTGGATTCGTATTGAAAAGAAAAACAACGGATCATTGTTAGTTCATGTAAGATCTGATCAATTAAAGATACACTATGCAATTTTTTTTATTTAAAAAAAATAATAATATCAACATATAATTAACGAGAGAGTCAAATCGTGCCTTTACTTTACCCAGATGCACTTTGATAAACCTATAATAATGATATCTTTTTAGAGCGGTCGGGACGGATTACGCGGGAAATTGCGTACCGAGCACATGCAGTTTTATTTTTTAACCGCTAGAGGGCCAAACGTTACATAGTGCAGCTTTAATATGATATAATATTAACATAATATTATAACATTAACACAATAAAGATACAACTTTTTATTTGAAAAATGTATTACTGACCTACATTTTGAAATCAACTAACTATGATTAATAGCTGCTTTAGAAGTATTTTTTAAGCATTGTTCGTTCATCTTAACAAATGCAGATATCTAACGTTAACAAGTAGAAAAGTGTTACAGAGAGACTCATACAAAAGTATTTAAAGACAAGATCTTTAAAACGAATGATTAACATAGGCCACAAAGGCACATTTAGTTCATGCTATACTGCACAACTCACGATGACAGTGCTGAGAAATCCAGTTTAATTTGATCCCACGGCTGCCAGTCACTGTCAGCGAGATTTAATTATCTTATGGAGAGATGCAGCCGCCCTTATAATAGAGGTAACACTTTAGTATAGGGCCAATTCTCACTCTTAACTAGTTGCTTATTAGCATGCCTGCTATTAACATAATGGCTGTTTATTAGTACTTAAAGCACATATTCTGCATGACCATATTCTACATCCCCAATCCTACTCAATACATAACTTAACAACTACCTTACTAACTATTAAAAGTCATAGTTAATGGTTTGTAAATAGTGGGAATTGGACATTAAAATAAAGTGTGACTGCTACATTATAGTCATGAAGGTCTCTGGAAGCACCAGCTAATGCACAATATGACACATTAGTAATGGCATTCAATGTTTTAAAGTGCAAAAAATAAAAGATACAGACTTCACAGTCAAAACTAGAACAATCGGTAGTCAATTCTCAGCGCCACACACACAGGACTTCAAACCATCCACTGCTAAAACTCCTATCTTCTCCTTCTGTCCCCTCACTGAGGCAGAAGTATCAAAACTTCTCCTCTCCAGCCATCCTACAACATGCCCTCACACCTTCTCCAAGCAATCTCTCCTACACTCTTACCAGCACGGATTGCTAAAGCTGATTCCAAATCATCAGTCCTTATTCTGCTGCATCTATCTGCTGCTTTTGACACTGTCAATCATCAGATCCTCCTGTCTGCCCTCTCTTCAATGGGCATCACAGGGATTCCACTTCGCTGGTTTGAATCCTATCTCACTGGTAGGTCTTTCAGGGTGGCCTGGGGAGGGGAGGTATCCAAAGCTCATCAACTGGTCACTGGGGCTCCTCAGGGATCAGTTCTTGGACCCCTCCTCTTCTCAACATACGCTACATCACTGGGACCCATTATACAAGCACATGGCTTCTCCTACCATTGCTATGCTGATGACACACAGCTCTATCTCTCATTTCAACCAGACAATCCAATAGTAGCTGCATAGATCTCAGGCTACCTTGCAAACATCTCGGCATGGATGAAGGAACATCATCTGCAGCTCAACCTGGCAAAGACTGAGCTTCTTGTCTTCCCTGCCACCCCAACTCTACAGTATGATTTTTCCATCCAGCTAGGTTCTTCTACAATTACCCCACCAACTTCGGTCAGAAATCTTGGTGTAACTTTTGATAACCAGCTGACCTTCAAAGACCACATTGCAAAGACCGCTCGATCTTGCAGGTTTGCATTGCACAACATCAGAAAGATCAGGCCCTTTCTAACGGAGCATGCTGCACAACTTCTTGTCCAGGCCCTTGTCATCTCTAGGCTGGACTACTGCAATGCTCTTCTGGCTGGACTTCCATCAAGCACAATCAAATGTCTACAAATGATTCAGAATGCAAGGTCTTCAATGAGCCTAAAAGAGCCCATGTTACACCTCTCTTTATCTCCTTGCACTGGCTACCGGTTGCGGCTTGCATCAAGTTCAAGACACTGATGCTTGCATATAGAACAGCCTCAGGCTCAGCACCCGCCTACCTCCACTCACTACTACGAATCTACATCCCCTTCAGAAGTCTGAGATCCGCTAGTGAGCGACGCCTCGTGGTACCATCACAGAGAGGATCCAAAATCACTTTCCAGAACATTCTCGTTCACCGTTCCTGGCTGGTGGAGTGATCTTCCCACCCCTATCCGGAATGCTGAATCCCTGACAAAACTCATCTCTATCGACGCTACTTGACTTCATCTTAAAAAATACAAAAAAACTTTGTCTTTCGCTTTATTTATTCCTTCCCTTTCTAGCCGCTACTTGACTTCATCTTAAAAAATAAAAAAAAACTTTGTCTTTCGCTTTATTTATTCCTTCCCTTTCTAGCTTGTACTTATTTGAGCAATGCCTAAAACTTGGTATTACAAGCACTTCTTGTGTCTGTTTGCCTCTTTAAGAAGAATCGCTTTATGTATCCCCCAATTGTAAGTCGCTTCTGCAAGCGTCTGCAAAATGACTAAATGTAAATGTAAAAGATCATCAGTGATGTTTGTTTTAGATTGCTGCTCCATGAATGACTCTTTCTGCTCTCGTCGACATTCAAGGAAATGTGCTTCACATCTCAAACAGGCCAAACTCATGGATCTACAACATGTGCAATGCCAGCATATTCGGCACATTGCACAACACACAATTGGGTGTTTCTTCAGCGTCAGGCACTTTTACAGTATGCCACAGGTGCTGATTTTTATTAACACCAATATATTTAAACTTTTTGTTATATGAAGGTTACATTAACACTGTTTTGGAAACGATTTATCATCTTTTAGATTAGCTAGATACATTTTGAGATGATCAGACTTGGTCTTTCAGTTTTAATATATGAAAATCCACCATAAAACATATACACTGAAGCAACAATTGGTGTAGAAAGAGTTTGCACTAAAAAAGTGCTGGTAAATTTCACAAATAATTACAAAACATGGCAAGAAACATGATTTTATTGTAAAACATACTCCAAATAGTCTTTTTTAAAGATTAAAGAATTAAAATTACAATTATTGTTACTCTGTAGAAACCTAGTAAAAACAAAACTAGACTGAAATAAGCAAATTATTAATCTAATCATTATTGCAACTTTTGCAATATTTACAATATACAATAGGGTGGCCCTAATTGGGGGGGTAAATTTTTTTATTGGAAATGTTAACCTCTCACCCCCTCATTTGTTTCTCCACTAGAAGTATGTAATGTATGCAAAATACCAGATAATTTGATTTTTTTGGGGTATGCTCAAAGAATGTATCTTGTCAGATCCACTGAAATGTTATCAAACAAAATGCACGATCTGAAATAGAAATTATCGTTTGTTGGTTGACGAACGACAGAACTCATTTGATGATGTGCATTTGTGTTTTGAACATGTTAGTTGTCAAATTATTTTCTAAAAGCTCACAAGACAAGTTCCCGGTGTCGAAGAAACAGCCGCTTATAGATTTAACACGCTGCATTTGATGATTTGACACGCAATCTGATCGCCTGCTTTATGCACTCTAGGGAAACACTCCTTTCACCCAACCGCTTTTACTGTACAAACGTTTATTCTGCTCTTTATGAAAGCGTCGGCGTTTCCAGTCAGTGCCGTTGTGTGCGAGTGTGGAAATACTTTGGTCGGCTGCTGTAAGATCACTGCAACTCTTTCCCAAGTCTGTGGTAAACCTGAAGAATGCTGGAATTTCTGCAGTCAGACGAGTTCAACGGAAAGCCTTCATCTGCACGGTTTTCGAGTTAGATAACGTTCATCAAATGCATTGTTTCACCAGCTCTTGTAAGCATGAATGCTATCGATACCTCCAGCCGTCTGATATGGATTGGGATAATGATTGTTCCACATATGAGCTCAAGCTCAGTATCTGTGGATCTGTGCCCGGACTGAGCATTTTTTCCAAGCCTTGATCTGTCATTATTCTGCAGCTCTAATTCTGTCCGAAAACCTCCAGCCAAAGCAGAGCAACGAAAACTTCAGTGAGTGTGGAACAGTGAACACAACTAACTAACTAACTAAGTAGTGATTAAACTGTGGCACGAGGACTGAGACTCCATCAGGAACTGGTATCGATTCCAACATGAGATCATGAAAATCTGCATTCGTGAATTGAAGGGCGAGTTCAGATGGAAGTTAATGGCTCTTGTTGTTTATCTCAAGCCACATTTCCCTGTAAAATGCAATTGTGCAATAGAGTTGCACAACTAAATGTTTATTTCCTGATGGAAACATTAGTGTTTGTGAAGCAGCAGTAAAAGTTGGAGGTGAATTCAGGTTTTAGCCTTTGATTCTGTGTTTAAAAAAAGAATCAGAATTCTGACACCATCTTAATGGTACAATATTACAATATAACAGATGCAAGAAAGAAAGCCAATCAGAATTCAGCATGCAAATATATATATAAAATGCAAATCAATATGAAAATTTTAAACTTTTTAAATCGTAAATTTCTTTAAGACTTCAGCTGTTGCTAACTAACCATCTAGCTAACTAACTAACTAACGAAGTAAA